AGAGGGGGGAACTTTAAATGCATAAAAGATGCTCCTTGCATCCACAACCAAAATAAATGTGCAATGGAAAGCTCCCTGCTCCCAACTGTATTATAGCCATTCTGAATGCATTTCTGCAGGCTTTGGCGCAGCAATAGGAGGCCACTGCTTAGGAAGAGGCCTTAGACTGTCTCTGCATCAGAGAATTGGCTCATCTAGCACAGCATTGCCTATAATGATTGGCAAGGGCTCTCTAGGTTTTCAAGCAGGAGTCTTTCAGGCCCTCCCAGGAGATGCCAGAAATTGAAGCTGGGTGGTACTGGGTTCTGGTAAGTTCCCTGATCATTCTAGTCTGGTTCTCTCCTGAGGAAAACAGCAAATCTGCCACCAAATTCTGCTAGTGCCAGAATATAACAGGCTTTCTGACAGCATCTTAGCTGAGCATTTACTGAACTGGCATCCCCTCCCTGCACCAAGCCCCACTATCATAGTTGTAATACATTCCATCTAGCAGTGACTTCACATAAGATAGGGAACCAGAGAGTGAAACTTACCTGCACTTCCTTCTTCAGCTTCCTTTTGAGTCCTGCACAGATGTTTGCAATTGAGCTCTGTCACCAACAGTCAGGTAATCAACAGTAGCTTATCCACTTGTGTCAGTGTAGAGAATCATTCTTCGTTGCTCTGCAAACACATCCCATTTTCTTTTCCTTCTCCTTCTCGGAAAGTAGCATAATACGTTTGCAGATGAAATACTGCTCAGTGCTGTTCCCTGAAATGCAATTCCTTGTGAGGCTGTCCTATTTACTATGGATGGTTATGGGATGGGGTGGGAGGGGCTTTCTTTTATTAAGATGCCCTGGGTGAAGCTGGGTATCTGTGTTGAGGCCCAATCTCTGCACCTCCCCTCCAGCCAGACACTAAGAATGTGCCACCTGCCTCCCATGCTCCCAAACCAGGGATCTGATGCACTAGTTCAATTCTTGCACTGTACACAGTACCTCTTCATTGTCTGTGCTGATATGTAGCAGGCTAGGGGAACCCCAGAATCAGTGCGAGTGGTGTGATGCACACAGTGAATGGATGCAAAACAGCAACAAACACTTCTCACGGTGTCTTTAAGGGTGGTGTGGTTCTTTCCCTCTCCCTTCCCTTTTGTGCTTTGAGATTAATGTTCCTTCTTGTGGATATATCTCTAGATAGTCATTTGGTTTTAGTTTTGGTTCTTTTTGCCTTTCTTTGCGGGACACAGGGCTTTCTTTCAGCCAGAATTCACCAGAACTCAGTTCCAGCACCGCTCAGGTGGGCACCATTGCCATTCTAAGAGAACAAGGGAGGTGTTCATGCTGAGTTCTGGCACCACTTTTTCTAGAAAAATAGCAGTGGAGGGAAACAAAATCCCACAACAATGTATATGCCAGATGTTCCACATTTCTGCAGTCACACACGGTGGAAGTGCAAAGTTTGATAACGGGTGCAGAAGTTTCCATTGTATGAGAACCTTGGCTTCCTTTCTCTTCCTTTCTTAAAAAAACAAAACAAAACAAACTTTCTAGCCTTTAAGGCTGGAAAAAGTGTGGGAAGTGCCTACTGAAATCTCAGAAGCATAGCAGGGAAGTCTGAAAAAGGTTTCAAGAGGGGATCAGGCAAGGCACATGCTACACTTTGCCGCCTTCCAATGATTGGCAGGAGCTGCATAAATTATGGGAAAGTAGGAAACATGCACAGTTGTGTAATAAGTATAATATATAAAGAATCCTGCTTTTTTCTAATTTTGCTCTCTTTTGGAGATCCATAGCCCTGGACAGAGCACATCGGAATATTTGCCCCTATGCAATGTTTGCTCCTACCTCTCTGGGTGTAACATCTCTGGATGTCTTGCGGGAGGGGTTTTCAGTTCATCCCATGCTTGCAATATGGGCTGCACCTGGCTGGCTGCAAGAAGTAAGCATGAGGATTTCTAATCATGTCACCTCACAAAGTATAAGCAGAACTAAGAAGCAAACAAGAAAAACCAAGAAGCAGCCACAAGCCCAGAAGAACTCTCAGGAGAGACATCACAGGGCAACATATGATGACATTCATGGAGGGCAACTGCTGGGCAAATGTTATAACTGTGATTCAATTTCTAGTATTCTCCCCCATCCAAAGGGTGGAGACTTTGGACCTTGTGATTTATTGGACCTTCTTCCAAGCAAGGAGAAACCTGGGGATTGAGACACAGAACCAGTTTAAGAGTATCCAAGACAAAGCAGTGATGTGTGAATGGACCCTTGGAGGAATTTGCTGCAGCTGTTGCTCCGAGTAATCAATAGCAACTGAGAATCCTGCTATACAGATCAGAATGGGAGGAACTGTCCATTTTGATTCTCTCCGTTTCTCCCTTTTCCAATCTTAAATTCAGTTCTCCAAATTTCTCCAGCAACTTGTGAATAATATCCGCTTGAAAATTCACCAGCATTTTAGTGTGAATTAATCCTAATAAACACATTTTCATATGCAGTTTTGACTTCTGTACACATTTTGGCAATTTCCCCCAATATAATGCATTTTGTATGCTATTTTCACTCATGTATTCATTTTTATATGCATGTACAGATGTACCCATATCAAGATCCATGCAAGTAGTGATTGGGCCAGGTACCATCTCAGTGGTAGAGCATTATGCATGGACATGAGAGCGCACATAGTGCCCTTTCTTATGCCAGTCAACCACACCAACAGTGATTTGTTTTCTTTGGAATAACTGGTGGCAGAAGGCATGGTTGCAATGTTTGCCCCCCATGCATTAAACTTGTGTGGGCCTACTGGGACCCTTCCTCACAGCATACATGTGACCACATAGTAAGTTTCTTAGCTGCATAATCCTGCCAAGTAATGATGAAAACTGTACCATACATCCAAATCCGGGGAATCGGGGGGGGGGGGGCGCTGACAAAATCCTCTTCAGACATGGTTCATTGCTTCGTGGGGAAATGGTGATCACCCTCTGACCTCCATTTCCTAAGTATTTGGGAAACACACAGCAACCCCAGAGAAATGGTTGGTTCAGCTTGTTTAGGAAAACATGGACAATTCCGTGATGCTGTGAAGGCATCATTCATAGTGAAGGCAAACAAAAGATGTGCCCACAGTTGTAAAAGCCAACCTCTACTTTAAAATGGCAACTAAGTTGGCAGGTGAGGGTAGCGATGTTTAACCACCTGCCTCATTGACCTGACTAAAAAAAAAAGTAGTACTTACTCTTGTTTATAGAATATACATCCACACCAGTTTAAATAATAACTGCAGAAAGTTGTTTTTTTCTTCTCATTCTCACATCCAACATTCACTTACCCGGAGCAACCAGCCCACACACATACCGGTAATCCTCATTCTCCAGACACACATATCTTTAAACTCATTCTTACACACACACACACACACACACACACACACACACACACACACACCTTTCATTCCCCATTTCAAACACTGAAAAAGAGGGTGCCACAAAATGAGAATGGGCGTGTATGGCCTTTTCAAATGTGAAAGCTTTTTGTGTGGTTGGGATTCTTCCTCCCCCTTGAACCTGTGGAAGACTAACATAGCCAACAGGTATTTTATGTGAGTGATAGAAATGTGGCTATTTCAGCAAAAAGTTGAAATAGAGAACACATCTTTCCAATGCTTATTTTTACAGACATGGTCCTATAAGATCTGTGTTATAATTTTTTTGTATTTAAAAATAATCTTCTGGAGGAAGGAATGTGTCATTTTCTTTCCTCTTCTCTTTTAATTTGTTAAGAACAGAGGGTGCTTGTTTTTTTTGTTTGTTCTTCCTTTAATAATCAGGTTTTTGTTCATTGTGGCATAAGACCAGTTCACACATTACACCAAACAGAGGTGCAATCTGGGCAAGTGTTTATGTGACAGAGTGTACACCTGTTGATTTGCACAGTTCAGCTATTTGTTTACACAGGTTAAGAAACTGCACACTCAGTGACCATTACCTGTGAATAACAGTACAGGTTTACAGCTCAACTATTTGTGCACACAAATAGTACACTTGCTAAATGCAATAGGCTAACAGCCCCTCTACTTGTGATCTAGATTAGAGAATAGGCAGTTGGAGAACTGTAGGCTAGAATCTGGCCTCAGGAGGAAGCCCTACCCAATTTTAACCAGGGTATAGTGAAAAGTTTGCCAACAGCATCACTCCTAAGAAAGGGTGGGGCTTTCAAGGTGTAGATGCCATGTGCTTAATTATTTAGGTTTCTATTTAATTGAAATTTATGTATTTAGATGTTCATGTTGAGTTGCTCTTTGGATTTTGGAAGCAATGCTCCAGCTACGCCTGAGGGCATGTGCAGTGTCTGTAACAAGGCACCCCTGCTGAGAGACAGTGCATTCAGTTTGTGTTGCGATACACACTTCTGGCCATCTGATTGCTGCCTGAAGCAGATCCCACAGAAGCTGGGCACTGGATTATAGAGATCTTCAGGGGAAGGGAGGGGATTGTGGGGAATTCTGCCTTGGTGAATGGAGTCTGAACTTGCTGATCTTTTCCCTCATCAATCTGTGAAAGGTTGAAGAGGGAGACAATATGAAATATATTTAAATAGCCTCTTTCCAACTACACACACCGCAACATTAATTTCAGAACCATGACAGATAGCTTCCCGTAGCTTCCTCCATATTTTGAAAGGGGAGGCGAGAGAGATGGCTTTCCATATCCCTACAAACATTTATAGAAGAATTTAAAGATTCAGGTTATCATGTTTTGAGTCACACGCAATATCCACCCTCTCACACAACTTCTGGTGCTTCAGGCTTTTAAATCATTTCCACCAAACAACACACTTTGGCACTCATCACCACATGCAAGAAAAGACTCTGATTCTTGGGCTTTGTGGTTTTTTGTTTTTTTTACCCTGATATTTTGTGGTAGGTTTCTTTATTTTTGAATATAAAGTGACAGAAATAATTTGCTGTTAGAAAAGAGAAAGAATCTTTGACTATTTACAGATTCTGTACATCACAAAGTTTTCTCATTTTGTTTTATTTTTGTTGTTGTTGTTCCTTCCCCCCTTTCTTTTAAAGTTTTTTCCCTGCATTGTTTGAGCAATGCTGTACTGAAAATCTATACATTTCACCCACCCACCCCCCAAAAAACCATCTGCTCCCAAAACAACTCCCAGTGAGAAACAAGATAAATCAATGGGGGGAAATCAACGACTTTCTTTTTGACCAGGATCCATTTGTATGTGTGTATGTGTGTGTATGTATGTTGATGTCGCCTGTGTATGTGTGTGTATATATATTTATATATATATAGACACACACACACATACACACACACTAATATATACTATTTTTCAAGTTCAAACACCAAAAATCATTAAGAGAAAGGGAAAAAGTAAAACAATTGTCCTCCCCCCTCCAGAATCTATCGATCCCTGCTTGTCCGAAATCAGAAATAGCTATTTACAGAAAAAAGAATTGGAGAGGGGGAGGTGTTGGGGATAGGAGGATTGGGAGAAAGAAGAGTAGTGATTGGTGGGGGTAGTGGGATTTGGGCCTCAGAGAGACGAGGCAAGCCTGAGTTCGACGGCGCTTTCCCTTAGGAAGGCGCTACGCTGGGAAAGTAATAATGATGTCTCCTTCCCCCGTTTTAGTTGTGTGAGGAAATTGCATTTCCAAGTCTCTGCCTGAACCCCACACTGGATGCCTTTGTGTCGTCAAGCTTGCATTCAGAATGCTTTGTCCTCCTGCCCCACCCCCAACTAGGATCCATAGCAGTGTTCCCTTGATATATGCTGAAATAGCACCAGCGGCCATTTTGAAAATAATCTGGGCCAACATGGCCATTTGGTAACAAAGCTGTGATTGGACACTAAGCTAGTAAACCCTTTCCCTGACTCTCAACCCTCCCTACCTCAGCTCCTGCCCACAAAGAATGTCATGCCCTGAACTAACTAGGAGTCCAGAGAACCCAACCAAGAGAGAAAAGTTTAAATCAAAACCACCCCAGGCCCCGTCCACCCCATCTCATTTGGCTCAGGCATTGAATTTAGGAGTGTCACCCATCAACCTGGAGACCACACCTACCACTTTCAAAGCTCCAAGGAAGTGGAAAAAATAGGCAGCCATTGTGGCACCAAGACCATTCTTCTGTGAGTCCCTTTGCCCCCACCCTTCCCCTCCACCACCACCTGCACCAAGCATGACTTAAAATGTAAGTCTTAAATTTGGCTGTACTGCAACCAGGAGAGGAGGGAGGCTGGAGTGATGGGTGGAGGAAAGGGGCAGAAGCTTAGCTGCAGCATCTGTTCATGGTGCCTTGTCATTTCAAAAGGAAAGGCGTCACCTCAAGGTTGATGGCTGACAGCCTTAACTTAATTTCAGAAGCTCAGCAAACAGCAGGAGACGAAGGAAGAAAATGCTATGTGTTAATCTCCACGAAAGGCACCCAGTCTCCTGTGCCAGGGATTCCCAAACGTATTACTAATAGGAGATATCCGTGGAACATCGTCACTGCTCTACATTCAGTTGTGCTGATTTCCTCACAACACCCAAGAGCAGCCACCTCATTTGGGTCAAAGGCAGGTTCATACCCAACATTTGGGAATCTCAGCCTGGAAGGGTACCTCTCTGTTCTCCACCAATCTCTTCTATTTGGAACATTCTCTTCATCACATTAGACGGTTTGCATGATGAAATGGAAGAGGAAACTGCACAGATGGAGTTGCAAGCATTTCACCTCATTCCGCTGCACATGCCATGTAAACGGAACCAAAGGCAAACCAATTTGAAAGAAAGAAAGAAATTCTACTGTGTGTGCGCGCACACACACACACACACACACACACTATACTTTCCATGCGTTTGGAAATGATAAAAAGTTAAGTTGTAACTTTCACATTAACCACTAAAATTGTGCGAAAGGATGGCTGTAAGAGGGATGCTCCTGGCCTGAGAAACTAAAAACACAGCGTGGAAACACCCATTCTGTGCATTTTCCATTGGACAGTTCCATCACTATTTACTCATACATACTGCAGTGTAAACTCCATTTTGTAAATCATCCAACGAGTTCTTTTAAATACATTCTATGCTATTAATGCTTTGGAATGCAATCCACAGGTCAACTGGAGCTTTTCAATACAAATGTCATGTGAAATATTGTTAAGTTATTTATACCCAACAGATAGACAAAATTTTCAGATATTTAAAAATATCTAAACAACTCAGAAAAATAAAATGTTGTGAATATATATATATATATATATGTAGTCATTTCAACACCATCTGGATTTGGGGTGCAGTTATGGCATTACTTAACCTGTACCATTCCACAGTATTTAAAAACAAGAGAAACAAATCCAAATATTGATACTTTTTTAAAAAAAAGTCCTCAAGTGTCTGAAATATTAACCCCCAAAGTCAATATGTTGGCTTTGAAACCAGAATGCCCGCTGCCACCGTCAAAGTACTGATGGATCCAGACAACAAAATGATTTTTCTTACTCAAACAAGTTGTTAAATTCACTTGCAAAATCCTAACTGGATTTCAGCCACTTGCCTTTGAGACCTCCCACTGAAACTGATCAACTGAGCTGATACTGAGGAAGAACTATACCAGATAAAGGACATAAACCAAGAATTACAGGTTCCTTGTTGGATGTTTGCAGATGAGCTCATCCAAACGAGGTTGAGAGAAGGAAATTTATTTTGAACATAGTGTGCTGCTGAGACTTTTCTTTTGAATCTAAATAGAGGTATACATGGCAGGTCAGTTACAAGTGGGAAAAAGCTTTTCTTCTAATAAACAGCACATCTTTCCATTATATCCTCATCGCTGAGGCCTATTTAGCTCCCAAAGAAAGCTAACTGCATGCTTTCCTACATATTGTAACAAAGTCCCTCAACTGCACTAACAGAAATGATAGGAATGGTGACCAGTCCTTGCTCTTTTTGGAATTGTTCAGCCATCCTCCACCATTTGCATCAAAAGGCCAAGCCAATTAATCACATAAAAGCAACTTTTAAAGCCGGTAAAGTCCTACCCTGATACAGCTGGATATTCCTCAAGGCCCGTATCTTTAGGACTAGAGTCCGGTGACCATGTTGAGAGAATGAAGCATATGATTATGAAATTGAATTAAGTCTTACTGTCACAAGCACACCTTTGTAAATAACACAGTTTGCTTCTTTTGCGATGGGGAGGAGAAAATATGCAGTCAGTATTGTAGTAGTATTCAGAGAGAACACCTTACCCCATGGGGAAGACAATACAAGCCAGTGGCTGGGGGGAAATCAAATCTGAAGATCCCATACAGAAGAGCCCCCCTGGAAGCTTAGCTACAGAAGCAGAGCTTATCCAAACCTCTTGATATCAAGTTGAGAAATCTCCCAAGAATTCTGCTTTCTTTGCAGGATTTCTGGAGCTTACAGGGATAAGAAATGTCTATAAGCAGAGGTTTTGTTTGCAGGCTTACTTAGGTACTGGCACTTCTTGTTCCAACCCAACCGGCAAAGAAAACACAGTATAAAGTAAGGGAGATTCTCACACTGAAGGACTAGCTAGACTCTCAAGCATGCTTCACCAACATCATGCGTGCAAATTGCACACACGCCGGTCCTAATCCAGCTCAGCGTTATGCATTCACAAACCTACTGAAACAAAGAGGCTTGCACAGGCCTCACCACCCTGGCTTGTGGCCATTTCCTATTGACCCATCCCCATCCCTACTGTTTTGACCCTCGGTGACCCATGTTTAGCTGATTGCTTGAAGGTAAATCAGGGCTAATCAGCTCGTGGCTAGGCAATTCACCAGCAGGATGGAACTTAAAACTCTTGGATGCTCACATTGTACTGGTTATATTCCAACGCTGAGGGACTTTGATGGACAGACAACATAATAGCACGTTGTGTGCCTTCTTGATGGGCAAAAGGATGGTGCTACAGCACTGGAAGGAATGTATGTCCCCTGTAAACTCCTCCTCTCATTGCTCAGTGGTCAGAAGACTCATGTACCCTTACACCATAGGAGAAGTCACCTTCAGCAGACAGCACAACGGAAATTAGCACTAGAACACTGGGGCAGTGGTGTAACATGGGTTGCTGGCCATCAGGGTGGGGCAAGTGTTGCAGCAGGGGTGGGGGCACATGTGAGAGGGACGCAAAGCCCACACGGAGGGTGAACGGAGCCCGCCTCCAACAGGCCCCTCACCCACTGCTTCCATCCACCTGCCCACTAGACCAAGCCACCTGCTGCCATGCCTCAGCTGCCAAGACTCCATGCCTGTCATGCGGGCACCTGATTGCATCCCTTCAAAGATGTGCGCCCGGGGCCATGTTCCCCCCTGCCCTTCCCCACACTATGCCTCTGCACAGGTGATCTCTCTGTGGGATTGTCTGCATGAAGTACATGCCCAGGAGACTCTGCTGGAGCATATCCCTGCCCCTGCCTTTTTTTCCTTCCTCCCTGATCAAAGTCCCTCCTCCCTTTTAGGCTTGTTCTGATTGTATTTGCTTTAACTGAATGAGACTGCACTGCAAATTACTATGAGCCTTTGCTAAGCTGTCTTTTTCCTTATGCTGTTTTTATTCATTGACTGTCTTGTTGAGGATAACCAAAAAGAACAACGAAAGGAAAGATTGCAGGTAGGGAGACAAAGCTCTGCATGAGTGTGTTGGCAGTTTGACTGTGGGGGTAAAGACAGCATGAACTAGAGAGTTTCAGCTGCAAGTTAGTAGAATTCAAGGCAGCTCAGAGGGTTGTGTAGGTCCACAGTTTTGTGCTCTGGGAGTCTAATCTAGGGCTTAGTGGCTGTGCTACCTATATTATAACAGCCTGCTTGCTGTTTGTATGTTAAATAAGCAGTTTACCAAAGATACCCTAAGTATCCCATGCTCTTTCTCCAAAGAAAACTAAATAAAATAGAGGGATGCTATCCCTTTGCTTCCCGCTGCTTGAGGAAGAGGAGAGCACTTAAGATTGGTCACAAAGAAGGAAATTACCCACCCACCCTGGAGTTGGTGTGAGCCAAAAAATGAGAGCAGCAGAAATTACAGCAACTCCAAGCAAGAGTCAGGAGGCGGCATATCAAGAGGTAAGAGCTTTACTGGATCGTCAGCTATAAGGAAGTCAAGACAGGCCCAGAGACCCAACAGAAGAGCTGCCATGTGGATAGCTAAGGAGTTCCCTATCAATTCTGAATGTGCTGAAGGGTTAGTAGCTGAGAAACAACAGACTCTTGTCTGTCTTGGGTGTTTCCAGCAGTGATCCAAATGAAAAGCTAGGGGAGAGTCCTATGAACTGAAAAAGAACTGGAGATCATGGTACAAAGGTAGAGTAGCTGAGGCCTGCAGTCAGGGGAAAGTGGTAGAGAATATGTAAAAAATGCAAGGGAACATGCAAGGTGGCTTGGAGGATGACTGTCTGCAAGCTGTAGTCATGGATGAGGAGAAATCCCTTGCCAACTGTATTATAGCATGTGCAGCCTATGGAAGCTCAGGCCCTTACAGCTGTTGTACTCCAGGGTCACGATCCAAGAGAAGGAGTGATCCAGAAGCCCATGAATTTTGAATGCACTTCAGACCAGGAAGCCTATCTGCCTAAGCTTGGGAAAAGGCCCAGTATGGGACTGGGATGGTGGAAAGAAAGGAGAATTACTAGCAGTCAATCCGAGTGAAGTATCCTTGTTGGGCCCTCTGATAAAGACTTATTGGTTTGGAACAGGCATAAGTAAGGCACCCTGGGCCAGGAATGTCCCTGAGCAGTCATCAGTCCAGGGACAGAGCTTAAAGGATTCATTTTCTTTAGATGAAAGAGGAGCAGGGTCATATGGTGGCTTCACAATAGCTCAAGTATACACAAGTATTCGTGGAAGCAAAGTAACTCCTGAAGCAGGCAGCAAAACCACTGATCCTATACTAGATTCCTAGAGAGCTACTGTGTGGACCTTCACAATCCTCCAGACTTCTTACATTCCCTCTGAAATCCAGTATAAAGTATATAACAGGCACCATTCACCAAGAGGTTTTCTTGTGCAAGCCCCGTTGAAAAGAGTAGCAATGGAATCACATAACTCCCATTGATGTCATACAGTTTGTGCAGATTTCCTGGCAGGTGGTGCTCCCAAAGTATGATCCAGTCATACTTAATCACTGAAATTTAAATGTGAGGCATTGAAAGATAAACTTAAATTTTCTCACTAAAATCAACTGGCCCTAAAAGTGATGGAACGGGGGCAGGATCGTGCCCATAGCCTACAGTCTCTGATTGCTTTTTGTATTATTTGTAAATACCCAATTTATTCATCAGCAAATACTATGTAATTGTGTACAAGGCAAGATTATGCAAAACAATTTGCATAATGTATATAAATGATAGCATCTGTCAATTTACCAGTTAATGTAAACTCTTAACATAAACACATTTAAGGTTAATGTCTAGATAGTCAGTGAATCAAAGGAGAGGTCTTAATCTTCACACCTGTCTAGAAACCATTTAGATCAGGCATAGGCAAACTCAGCCCTCCAGATGTTTTGGGAATACAACTCCTATCATCCCTAGCTAATAGGACCAGTGGTCAGGGATGATGGCAGTTGTAGTCCCAAAACATTTGGAGGGCTGATTTTGCCTATGCCTGATTTAGATAGTGTGCAAATCCATGATAAAACATGACACTCAGAAGTAGGTATCAATGGTGAGGTGTTTCAAGACTTACTTCAAAATGGCCTGATATAGTCTTTACTCCAAGCTCCATGAGGTTTTAGTCTACATATGGAGCTGAGAGGGGAACCTCTGGCCCAGAAGCTGAATGTGACCCTTCAGATCTCTCTATACAGTTCTCAGGACTTTTCCAAGGTAATTTCCTTCTCTGCAGGCCTCACCCCTCACCACCTCTATAACACACCCTCCTTGAGATGGGCGGGGTATAAATTATAAATTATTATTATTATGAGCTTGGCCGGAATGTGTCCTTGCAGTGGCAGACTTTGGATTTTCAAATTTCAGTGGTGCCCTGTGCAACGCCAAAATTCGGCACCCTCCGCTGAATTATTTCAAATGTGTTTTCAAATAAATTACTTGTAGTTTTCAAAATGGTCTCTGACAAACAAACAAACAAAATCTGTTGAAGTGGCTAGAGTGCATGACTGTCCCAAATGCCCCTGGGGGAGTGATGGCATGTGGTGAGGTGACATTCCTCACAGGGACATGGTACAGAAAAAAAGATGGCTGCCTAAACGGGGGCAGCCATTTTCCTCTCATACAGTAGCCCTGTGAGGGACCTGCAGCCACATATAGCATGCAGCAGATATTGCCTGTTAAACAAAGGGGATTTTAAAAGGAAGGAAGGAAGGAAGGAAGGAAGGAAGGAAGGAAGGAAGGAAGGAAGGAAGGCCACCTCATAGAATTGGTGGAAGCCTGGATTCTGTAGAGGGCTATGTTCTAATCCACACATCAGTCCCGAAGAAAAAGTCCACTTCAGATTTCAGCCTGCCAAATTCCTCGAGCATCCTCCCTTTGAAATTCCCCTTTTCAGCTGACTTTATGAAATTAGAAAGGATCGAATTGTTTTAAATTCGGCCACATTATTTAAATGCGTCTCTATCAATTGAATTATGACTTAATCTAATGAAATCTAGCACTGCTTTTCTTTCTCATGGTTGAAAGCTGCTTGTTACTTCCCTGTTTAGGAATAATTTGTTTTTGCCACCATAGAAACTGGAAAGGGCACGTTTGCTACGAGAGAAAGGTTTGCCTTTGGGCCACAACTTTGTAGACACAAAGATAATTTAAAATAATTTAGATAATTACCTACTTATAAACAGGGTCTGTCACTACATGTTGGCCCTTAATACTCAATGGGCATATCTGTGCCAAACATGGTCATCCCTTCCTTCTCCCCAGGGAAATATAGTTGAGCGGGTTTAGGAATCTCTTACAAAGAATGCTCACAAATCTGTGGGAGAAATCATGGCAGTAAAAGTCACACAAACTAGTATAGACAGAGCAATGATGACCCACCCCATACTCTAAGCCTTCTGTATGCTGTATACTAGTCACCTCGCCTCTGCCCCTCAGTGGCTGTCAGACAGTTGTTCTCCCTCTTTCAAACCACACCGTTAGATATTTGCAAATGTGTTGTCATGGCCCCCATTAACCTGCTTTTATGACATGCATCAGTCTTCACTCTCCTGGGCTGCCTATATGGGCATCAGTGACAGACATTACAGAAAAATTGACACAACATCCCAAACCAGCATGTTGGATTTGGCCGTGGGTGGGAGATGCATTAGAGCACCCAAAATGGCAACCTCATTGTTTGCACTGTGTAGGGAAGGTTTGGCTTGAGTTTTAAGGGGAATTTCTCCTTGAAAAAAGTACTGAAACTATCCACAGTCCCTCTGCATGCAGGCACACGTACACAATCTCCCACATTACTTATCTTCAGAGAGTTCCACTCACACAGAGAAACTCACTTAACATTCTGCAGTGTCCACCACAGCTAATAGAAAGAGAGCAAACTGCTGAAGGGCAATTGCATAGCCCGTACTTAACCTTGAGCAAGAGGATTTGATGTCCAGGCCTCAGTTTCGCACCTCCTTGGCAAAGGCTGGCTAATCGGAGAGAACAGCAGAAAATGCTTCATGGCATTCAGCTTAACAGTTCAGATAAGGAAGCAGCCCAGGAAGCCATTCTTTTCTGAATATAGGAGGGATATATAGCTAGCAGTTAAGATAGGGCAGAGAAAGTCACAAAATGCCTGGAATTTCTGCTTGTGTGATGGAAGGTGATTTTCCACACAGCGTCTCAGAGGCGATAATATCCATTCCTCTTTGGTCTAAGATCTTACCAACCCAGAAGAATAAGGGAAGAAGGGAAGACGTGAACTCAGTAGAGGCTACCTGGAACAACATTCAAACCCTTATTGTGTGCTGGCATTCTAGGGAAAAGAGCCCGGTCTACTTAACCACCGCAAGAGCACACTTATCCATCATCAAAAAAGAGGAGAAAAGGGTATTTATCTGCATAAAATTGGCCTATGCTAATTTATATGTAGAGATACAAATTTAGAAACAATTTCCATAATTTATGCAAAAATGCAGTACATCTCATTTGGGTAAGACTGTGACGAGATTGGCTTGTGTGGCAGCTGATTCTACCGCCCAGTGTTATTGATGGGCAACTTCCAAACTCCTTTTCTCCCTCCTTCAAGGCCTTTGCTGTGCTCCCTTCTGTGGCTCCTTTCTCTTTAAAATGGACATGGGCCAGACAGATGTTCAAACCAAAGAGACCTTCATATAGAAGGCTGTGCTCTGTAAAGTAGAACCTATCATCTGCCCTGCACCTGATTAAAGAATGGATGGAAGGGGGAAGTTTTACCACATTTCCATTTTTACTTTGAAGTAATAAGACAACCTGTTTCAGAAAACTACCAACCAATTTTTGCTGTACCACTAAAGCCTAATAGAAACTGCCTGGGCAGTATATGCAGAGTGGATGAATAGATTTGCTTCCTGTGATTCAATATTAAGATCTTGGCCAGTGGTCCATTTGGGTATGAAGATCAAATTATTTCTGGAATTAGACCGATCAGGAGGGACGCCAGAAATTATGGGATTACTTTGAGGTCTAGGTTTAAAGAGGGCAAGGGAACATATGTACACAGAAAAACCACAGGGATGCACAATACAAAAGCCATACAACGAGTGCTAGCTGGTGCTTCAAAATATGCTTCTGCTAATGGAATGCTTGCAAGATGGTAAACACCAAAACAGATGCAACCAAAAGTCTAGTTATACATCAAAAACTAAACTGGGGCACAACACTCCAGTAAAGTTCTCCTGCACAAACTCCACTGAAGTGAATGGGAGATGTGTAAGCAGCTCTCCCAGATTGTTCCTCAGATGTTTGTTTGTTTTTAAAGGGAAAAATGGAATGGTTACAGGGTTGTAGAATCTTAATGTTAATGTTTTCACAACCCAATACTGTTCAGCCTTGACAGTGTCTGTATTATGTATTGTGTTACAAGCTGTGGTCATGTTAAGGACACTGGCAGTATATAAATTTAATAAATAGCGAAAAACAAAATTTAAACCACAGAAGATAAGTGCAGCGTATGAACTTGCAAAATATCTAATGAGAGTTCACATGTTTAAGGAGTTGACGAGAACAGTGGGTCTTTTTACTCATTACATTCAAAGAAAACAGACCCTTTGCTTTTTACACATTTCACCAGTTGGGCGTGTCATTTTAGGGGTGAAACTTAATTTCTGCAAATTTCTTCAGTGAAGAGCCTTGAAAATAAGTTTTGGGGTGTAAGGAATTCAAACCTGCTATTATTTTTTGTGACTGGACAACATTAAGCTTGGCAAATCTATGTTTGATTAGAAAACACATAAAATACTTTTGGAAAACCAAAGAATTTTAATTTTACCTTCTGGTCAGATAATGCTTAATAATAATAATAATAATAATAATAATAATAATAATAATAATAATAATACAAGTCTCCTGCCAGCCACCAAGCAATACAATGATATCAGGCCCACACAGATCAACAATCCAGAGAAAATCTGGGAACTCTATGTGCAGAACAGATTCCTCAAGAAACTGAGCCAAACCACAAGCCACAAGTCAAGTCACACATGAGATTGATTATATGATCAAGATACTGAGGGTGGAGAAAACTTTCTGGAACACATATTCAGGTAAGGGAAACAGGATGAAAAGCATAAGAAACGAACAGACAATGCCATTACCTTCATGCCCTGCTTATAAATTTTGCAGAGGCATTTGGGAGGCCACTGCTGTAAACAGTGCTGGACCAGTTGGAGACAATCAATTTGTTCAAGGCCACACACCCAATACAAGGCAGAAGTGGGATTTGAGCCCTTAAGTACAATTTCTTTGACACTACATACTGCTGCATCACAACAGCAACTTTACACAAGGCCAACCAGTTAACTTACTATACAGATCCCAACCCATATTGTTCCCCTTGAAGAGATCCACTCCCTAAAAGAATTTCACCTGCATTTCCATATATTTACCCCCTCTCCTTCCTCCCACCCAACCCCGAAGAAAATATCCTCTCCCTTTTACCCATCTCCATGGCAGAGTCAGGCAGACAAACTATCAGCTTCCTATCCCCTTAAATCTCTCAACTCTCTCTGACAGGCTCCTGACAGGGGTAGGAAAATTACGGTACAATAATTTGGAGAAAGCAGTGGACCAATCAAGCAGCCAACCTCCAAGGAATGCCACCAATGAGGAGCCAGACTTCTCACATCACCCATTGGCCCCAAACCACAGGAAGCAGACATGCACAACTGCCAGCAACCCACAGGGGCAGGCGGGGAGCAAGTTCTCTGAACAACATTTGCATTCCCTCAGGAAATTTCCCCTTGAGGTGGCAACATGATATGCTGTGCATTGGCCAAATCCCAGCCTATTATTTCCCCAAATTGTTGACAATTTTTGCCCCAAAGTGCCCCCAAATAGTGTACAGTATTCATGCACCCAGTTTGGCAGAGGCCATGGTTGTATACATATTATTGAGTGCCAGTCTGGGAAGCCACCCCCTGGGATGTCCTACAAGTACCACAATTGCCTTCCCTATTAAGAGATGACCTTCACTTCAAGGTGCTTCATGTTTCAACAACACATGAACATTCATGACTGCCATCAACCCCACCCCACTCCCCACCATGCATTGCAACTCCCCTCCCTTCCACACAAACATTTTCCCCACAACCTCCCCTTTTCCCATCACCGCCCCCCATCAACAAAACTTCTCGCCACAACTTCCGTTCTTGATCATTTTATTTTGGTGACTTTCATGCTACATAAAAATTAGCTTTTCTATAAAAAAGTATTCACAATTTTCCCCCAAAATATTTCAAGGGTATTTTTTTAAATATTTGTAAGTTTTCTTTTTGCAGCGAGGGTTACTGGTCATCCCATATCCTCCTGCTGCCATCATCTTTGTTCTCTTTACATTAAAAATAAATATATGAGATGACAAGATTCAACACAGGAGGGATTTATTGACTCTAACCAAAAGACTGGGAAAATCCAGGTTTTCCCAAGTGGCTGGAGATACCCAGAAGAACATGGCACAAAGTGCCAATGGAATTTCACTGGGGAGGAACATTTATTTCTCTCCTGATTTCTGAGTCGCCCTTTTCTGTGAATGGGTGTGATTTCATAATGCAGAATAGCTGGAACGATTGGAGGAAGCTCCAAGAATTATGGACAAAGGTATCTGGGCAAATGTGAATTATTTTAAAACTTGAAACACAATCTCCCATCTCTCATACTAGAATTTTATAGAAATTTCTCAACTCTACCAGATTTAAATCTAAAACCTGAAAAAAGACTATCCATACTATAACCAACAGATCAACTAACTAGGACTTCTAACCAGAAGTCTTGACTGTCAATTCTCTTTGACAGACATATTTTGGAACTGTTTATGGCACTTTGGAGGTTGTTTATTGTGATAAATGCATTGTTTGATCCAAAGTTTACAATTACCCACCTAAACTGGAGTGAATTTGTTTCCAATGTGGGTCTTATTCACCCAAACGCCATTTGCATGCATCTGGTTCCATACATGGGAGATTAAGGAATAACATATTATTTTCATCTTTCTCTTCATCTTGTTCCGTATGAATTCCATACTCCCTTTAAGTGACTACAGATGTTCATGGACCAACTGGTAACTTACCAGGTACATATTTATTGCTTGGTACGCCAGTCAACTGAAACATCCTGCCAAGTGATGAATTTTATTACTACAGTTTCTAAATATTTCTGAGCAGATTAAGAAGTGTGGTAAATGTCTCATCACTTGACAGTCTGTTTCAGATGACCAACATTCCAAGTGTTGGAATGTATATGATGTGCTCAGTAACTTGCATAGGCTTCAGAAAACTGTCTTCCCCCTCTTCCCCAGTAATGTTAGCTCCAGAAAACACTGGAAGAAAGACCAATGGAGGTAAAGAGAAGGGCAAGACTGAGCAGTAATATATGTTACAATGCTTTCAAAGAGAATGTGGCTCTGATTTACACAAGTCACTATGTGAATACCTATATGCATAGCTCCTGCTTCCTCCAATCCTTTCAACTATCACTCCATTCCCTATTATGAGATGACACCCACCCACATAAAAAGGTGACTAAGAAATACTGTATATAAGTAAATAGCACAATATAATATGCAGGACCGTCAGCAATCCATGTTTGATTAACAGTACTCTATATAATCAATCATAGTGATTCTATGTATCAATCAATCAATCACACACACACACACACACACACACACACACACACCGTAAGGACGCACTAGCTGAAGTAAATGTACAGAAATTAGATTCTGAATGAGTCAACCTGGTGGATTTAGCCATTCATTATGGATGAGGATAGGGAAGTTGTGAAAACCCATAAAAGAGAAAAGATGAAGAAGAGCATTGGGTCTTTGAACAGCAGTAAGCCTAGAATCATACAGTAATGTGGTTCATGCTGCCGTTCCTTGCTGTTTTGGGAAATGTTGCTTGAAATTGTTATTTCTGTCAATTGTAAATTGTGTTCTCTCTCTATAATACAGACAAAAGAAGGAAATCTACATTTTTAGTTACATTCATTTTCAGAATCTCTTTTGTTTCAGATGAATCATTCTAACTTGGTCTCACCATTCACTCCACATACACAAAACATTCATTTTAGTCAGTTTAAATTGTCAATTAAGCTCCATTTCAGTCTGGAGATTTTTCTTTTACTAGTGGCCAAATGTTGGCAAAGTGCTTTTTCCCCACTAGGAAAGTTTTGTTAGAAATTTCCCAGTTAGTTTTTAAAAGGGAGAGAGCTTTCCAGATGATCAGTTTGTTAAAGCACATTCACGGTCCAGTTCTACACCAAGTTTGACATGCTTAATCCCACAAAATTCAGTGGCTTTAGGGGCCTAACTACGCATTACATTAATGATGTGATTAGCAATCACATTGTGTGTTGTTAAAAAGTAAATATCAAGTGCAGCGGAAACAACTGTTATCAGGATCCTTCCTGCTCTTGGCACAATCTCCATAAAATTCCGCCCCCCCAACACAGAAATTAACATTGGGGAGGGAGAATCCCCACTAATGCCAATGGGAGCTTGGTATGTAATGCGAGTAGCTGTGCTGGGCAGGGAGGGGAATTTCATGCAAATTGCATCTGAGTAGAGCTTAACCCTTCTCATCCTGTGCACCCTGATCTTATTGACACTCACATCCCTGCACCTGTATTCTTTTTCAAAAAATAGCATGCAATGTGATTGTAAATCATACTGTTAATATTATATGTAGTTGGGCTCCTGGATGCACAGAGTACTGCACAGAACTGGACTGTAAGTGTGTTGTCATTACTCATTTGTGATATGGGATCTACATTTCTAGCAGTGTCTCTATTGCAGCATTTGCACAAGCAGCATAGGCAATGACTGCAGAGTACCTGCAATACCACCAGTGAGAAATGTGCTCACTCACCACCACAGCTCGTGACATTCTTGCATTTACAGTTTTCAACTATTTATTTTATAGAATGCCCTTGTTTACTGTGCACTGTATCAGCTGTCTACTGCAGTGATGGTGGAGCCATTCTGTACTAGTTCTAAACAAAACTTCAGTAAGCAAGGCAAACACATGTTGCCAATGAGGATGTTTTACGAGATTTCCCTTAAAGACGTCTTTGCTGGCTGCACCCTTTTCAGCTGTGCTTTTTGAAAGCTGTGAACAACAGAACTGCTGTCTCCCACAATATGGTGACTCCCTCATCAGTGATTTTGGAAGAAGATGCTTCTGGAAGCAGGGCTAGCATCGCTATATAACTAGAATAGGATCCAGGGTTTCTGCCCCCTAATCATTGGAAAAGCCCCCACCCCACCCCAATGAGAGAGCATGAGACAGAACAGCAACTTTCTGATGCACAAAAGACCAGAGAGGTATATTGCAAAGCTCTGCTCTCTAACAATGACATCTCAGAACTGTCCTACCATCAAACACATTACAAACACAGATTACACAGCCTCCCATCTGAACAACACAGACTGGAAACTATCTTAACGCTGTATTGCAGGCTACACCTCCTTTACCCCCCACCCAAGCTCCCCCAACTTACCTAAAAGTATGCATACAGCATGCACACACATTTCACAGTGGTTTGTGTGTGCCTGCCTGCCTGTTTGAATAAACACTGTAATTGATTCAGGCTTCCAAAGCCAATGATTTATACTAGGAACTAAATATTGGACTGTGAAATGTTATGGACAATAAGGAGACTTTGCTCCTGTCCTTCCCATGCCTCTTATACCTCCTTTATGCTTTCCTTTCCCCAACTCTCTTCTGTATCTCTGGGCTAAGCTGAATCTTAATACCGGAGACCTATGATTGAACCTCTCAAGTGTTTCTTGCTTAGGCTTAAAGCAGCCATGGGAAGGAGGAATTTGATCATGGCTGCAGGAGGGTGGAGGTTCAACCCTTTCCTGGTGCTGCCTTCCAAATATGTATATCCCCACCGAAAGCTTCTTTTTAGGCATGAAGGGAGGAAATCGGTCCCTGCAGTGCTTCATGCTGAAGATTGATCTCCACCCATACAACTCTCCTATCAATCCACAAACTGGCTTTGGGAAATGAGAGGATTGCAGTAAATGCACCTTCCCACTTTCCCCCCATGACCCTGCCAGAGTCTTGCAACAAGACAGGATGTCAGGTACTGGCTGTAATATGCCTTTTAGCAATTGCACTATTCAGCAAAGAAACACATTAGCCTAAATCCAAATCAGTTATCTGCTAGCTAGCAAGAAAGTCTAAATTTCATCCTGTTAAAGAGTAAAGGTGGCCATGATAATAGTGCAAATTGAACCAACAGAGGATGAACAATTAATTAAAGGGTGTTGATGGGTTTGCCATAGTCTCAGGAGTCACCCAAAGGGCATTCCAAGCAATGTTTCCTCTGAGATGTATGAGAGGTTACTCAGTGATGTATGCACCACAGCAGTTGGTAGCAAGGCAGAAAGAAGCTTGGCACCAAGTGAAAGACGCCTGGCACCCAGCTGTGAATAAGGAGGACATGGCAGAAAAGCAAGGCGTTGTGCTGCAGACAGTGCAGCCCTTGGCTGCAAAGCAAAAGAGCCTGGCACACTAACAAGGATGATGATGCAGTCGATAGCAGAAACAGAAGCAGCACAGAGGGGAAATGTTGCACATAAGAGCAATAGGCAGTCATCAGTGACAATCGGAGGCATCTGTGACATACTGTCCAAATACTGAATAACACATTGCCCTACATCTGACAGCACCATCCACTAAAAACATAAGGGAGTTGGTGGGTTGTGGGAATAACAGAATCCAAGTTGCAGAGGGGCAAATTCTCCCACTTCTATGGAATGATGTTTGGCTAGCAAGGAATCCTTCAAATCGGTTCTTAATCTCTTCTGCCTATCATGAATTGCACAGAAAAATAGGCCACACATTAGTCCTTCCTGTCTACAAATCTAGCTATATGTACACTGTAAAGCTACTCTCAGTCCACTTTATTCAGGTGGAAAATGTGCACCACGTGCACACAGGACTTTTGAGCTATAAAATCAACCTTTCAGAGGGAGCCAAAGTCCTTTGCCACACCCACTGAGCCTCCAACCAAGAGCAGTTTTATACTTGGCAAAATAATAACAACTCATTCCACAAGGCTTTACTTTTGATCTCTGCTTACAGCAAATCACAAAAACTAACACCTGCCTTTAAGATAAAACTATATATACTCTCAGCTTCCCTCTCACAAACCACAATGCAAGTGGAGCTTACAACATAGTAGAGAGAAACATCAGCATCCTCTCTGGCTTTAGTCATGGCTCTTCATGATATTCTACACATTCTTTATCCAGAACAGAACTCCCCATGTCCAGATCTTACACATATGGTTAGATGGAAGGGTCCCAGAGTCAATAAAAGGGCATGGCTTGTTCCACAACCCTGTATATATTCTGGGACGTGATCTCTATAAAGGCAGCTGCCCCTGCCTTTGTTGTAGAACAGTTAGGTCACACAAGAGTAGTTATATGGTCCAGAGGGAGGGGTGCAAGATTCCGCCTGCCCCTAGGCAGCACCCTGCAATTGGGGCTTGTAGAAAGGGCGAATTGAACTTGAGCTAGGAAAATTGCAAATCATTGTTTCAGATGCTGCTACTAAAACAAACAGATTGGATTGACCTGCAAACTGCTACATAAATAAAAGGCACACAATAAGCATTACATAACATTATGGTAAAAATCAGTACAAATAAAGCTAGTTAACTGGCTAGAGAACTGGTCAACCAATAGATTTCAATTACCAGTTTTCCATGGGGAGATATTATTAAGCAAAGTTATTTCCAGATCAGTAAGAATAATACAAAGGCACAATGCAAATCCAGATGCTTTTAACTGAAAAGGCAAATTGTTGGGCTGAAAGGCTACCCTGAACCCCACTTTACTTTAAAAGATGGTCAGGCTGGCATGCGCCCATATCCCCACCCCAATACACAGTTCAGAAAGCCAAACAAAACATTAATATCCTTATTCTGCATGTGACAGAAGGGTGAGGACAGCTCCTTGGTAACCTGCAGCTGCTGAAGAAAACATCAACTACCATGAGCCCTTTCTTTCTATTTTGTTTTCTCAGGGAAAACATTCTAAGGCCATTGTTTTCCACACCACTATTGGTAGCCTAAAACACATGAACTTGATGCTAAGAACATTTGAAGATGACCAAAAATAAAAGGAGAAGGTGAGGATTATGACAGGTCTGTAACACAGGAACATCCCTGAATGCAGTGAAGGGGGGGTGAGGAGGCACCCATCTACAAACAATGGGCGGAATCCACCACAAGGCGAGAGAATGTTCTGGTGGGTTGTACTCAGCATAAACCGTACCTCCCAAATGGAAATCAAACTCTCAGACACCGAGTCTGTTTCCTTCACCAGGGATAAGGAGATATGAGTCAGGCTGGCTCAATGAAGAGGGGGGTGAACACTGGCCACTTTGTGGGAGGAGCTCATTATTCTGGCATGGTTCTGCCTCCACTGTTGAAGGCAGTAGGTGTCTGAATACCAACCACTGGGAATCAAGGGTGGGGAGAGGGCTACTATGGTCAAGTCCTGCTTTCAGGCTTCCCATAGGCATCTCATTGGCCCTTGTGAGATGCTGGACTAGCTGGGCCACTGGCCTGATCCAGCAGGCCTGTCTTGTGTTTTTGGATAACAAGATCAGGGTGTCAAAAGGGTTGATGTTAGACAACAAGGGCAGTAGCAAGAGGGAACAGGGGAGGGTAAGCGTACTAGATATACTTTTGATTTTATTTTGCACTTTTACAAAAGGGTGTTGAGAAAATTAGAGAGGACATAAAGATGGGCAACCAACCATTTAAAGACTTATAAACAAGACTTCTTGTAATAAGAATGCAATTTTAAGGTAAAACAATGTTAGATGGTTGAAATGAAGGCTGACAAAAGTGCATTTGATGGGATTTATGAGGACCCTCATGAGAGAAAGCATGGTGAAAAACAAGTCCTGGCTTTGTGTCCATGCCTCAATTGTCAAATCATGCCAACTGTTTATTAGAGTCAAAAGAACTTTTCCAAGGAGATCACAGACGGTACACTGTTCTGCCACTACCTGACTAGTTGAAGAGCAATACCAGGTGATTTCAAAAATGTACCTATTAGCATGTGGGCGGCTGGGTAACAACAGGATTATTTATATTTTAATCATATTAAATAATTAAAATCCTGCCCTTCCTTCAAATAGTGCAGGGTGGCATATCTAGGATAATCCCAATTTCATCTCTCCAAGAGTAGGCCATCTAGCAAGCTTCATGGCTGAGTAGGGAAGTACAAATCCAACACTCAACTGAGTCTACCACACTAGCTTTACTTCCCACAATGAAAGGGTTCTGCTTGGAAAAGAGATGCCATCTTTAGATGCCCAAAATACATATGCACAGCAAGAGAGGAGGAGGGGGTGAGGTGGCAGCCAAAGAAGCAGAGTAGGCTGAACAAAGAAATGAGGTACAAAACCTCAGAAGAGATCTGAACACACTTCAGTAAGGTGAAGTTATGGTCAGATTTGAACATGGGGAGTGAGGCTCTGACATGGGTTTTACGTAGAAGATCCAGAATAACAACCTGCTGTGTAGGAGGGATGTTAGAAAATGGCTTTTCCTTGCAGAAGAAGTGGGTGAAGAAGACCCTTGAACGATGTCAGAGAAAGACACACATATCGAAATGGTGGATGAAATGGTGGATGTTACTAACATCCCAGGAAAAGGAAGGGAGAGAAACATGGGACAGTTTTCAGAGGAGAGAGGGGGGAAAATAAAGACAGACAATCTAAGGAAAGGGGTAGCCTGGTGTTTCAAACATATAATCTCAAACATGTAATCTCTAGCTATCAATACATGTTCTAATTAAGGAAACTATTAACACCCTTTTCCTCCCCACCCGCCACCAGCCCCCAAACCTCCCCCAACATGAGTCCCTTTCTTAGCACACACATAGAACATCCAGATAAACTTCCCAAACTGGCAAAAGCAACCACTGAAACAACTTCAAACACCACAGACCAAGGAAAACCACAACTCATAAGTCAATTCCCCTTCCCCATGCCTTTGCTTAATATGGAAATACTGTACATATAAAAAAATTACCCTCTTCCCCCAACCTGAATATAGCTGCTGTAATTAGCTCCTGTACATATGTACACTTATATTTACATATAACCGCAATCAAATAAGCGGATGATATATATGGCACAACATGAATACATAACATTAAAAACAATGTCAGGAAATGTTGCATTGTTTCTGCTTTGATAAAATGCTTTATTGTGACTAAAAAGAGTCAAAAATGTTTGCTGAAATATATTGATTTTGATGTTTGAGATGTGTCCATACATACTCAGGCTTTTTGCTGAAGTTATGTGAGACCTACATATATATTATTCAGCTTTTTAGTATGTGATGTTTGTGTATGAAAGAAATGGAATAGGTCGGACCTTGCAAGAACTTAACTGTGGTATTCATTACAACCACTTGTGATAGGTTAAATAAATTAAATTATGAATAAGTGATAACACAGATTTTATCTTGAGCCCAGTTCAAATGATTGAATTGGCATGATGGGCTTGCTGACCAAATGGGTCCAGCTCGGTCTGACACGTGGTCAAATCGTTGCACACCCCACAGCTTCGCAGACGGCATGACACGTGAGCTGGGTATGTGATTTAAGCTTTACCACAGGCAGACCTGAGCCTGGATCCACTCACTCCACCAACTCATCATGGAGGAGGGCAATTTAATTTGAAGCTTATGGGGGTGCCCTTTGTCTATGCCCCTCCTTGGCTCACTGGTCTATCGCCAAGCTGGCCTGGTTGTGTGAAGTGATCTTCAATCTTCATAGCACTGCTTTGTTGTTTTTAACTGGACTTTGCTAATAGAGAATATTCTAATTTTGTCAAGATGTACTCTACACTAATACACATTATTGTCAGCAATAAAGGGAATTTGATAACATTCAGAGGCTGGAAAGGGCGGGCCTTCAAAGTATTTAAAATAAAAGTTTTTAAAATGTGGTGGTTTAGTTTGAAGTTTGTCTGGATGGGTGCCAGAAATGGAAACCCATCCATAATGGAAATGATGCTATATGTCTGGATCTATAACTGGCGGTTATAACCCTAACCAACTTTTCCAGTGGTGAGGGTGTAGGGATATTAAGAACAGAATTATGGCTTGGAAGCCTATTTGGCTACAAACTGGAAATAAGCCCTTGGGGGACAAAGCTAGTGTCCCACTAATTACTTTCTTCATATTCGAGCAGCGTCCAGAAGTAGAGTGGACGTTTTCCACTTGGACAGACCTGGTATGTTCAGTATGTAATTGTAGGGAAGCACTTATGGGAGAGGATGCAAAATGCAAGCTTGAGGGGTTGAGGTCCTCTTCTGTTGTTGCCAGGAACTTCAGGGCCCGATCTTTCAGGTAGCTTCATGCGCTTATATCTGATGGATTTGATAGAATGAAACCAACACAAGTCCCATTTGGGAGCAAGTGGGAAATACGGAGTACAATCATGAATAGGCTGCCAGCTCTTTTGGACAAGAAGGGATACAGCCATGCTTGATCTAAGCAAACTCATGAGGCATACATATTTGTTCTGACAACATCCTGGAACAAAATAGTTCCTCTGTGCAACTAGCCTCTGATTATCCTAACAATGACTGTATTTAGGAATGATGTAGATTTTTATTAAAGGAATTTGAAGAATTGCAGGAAGTCAGTTGTAAGAAGCGGCCGGAATACCTGTGCCCAAACTGGGATTGTGTTGGATTTTGGCAGGTATGAGAGATACTAGTTGATTTACATGTGCAAGGGAGTATGGGGTGGGGATGGAGAGGGGCAGTATACTTCTAAAAACCTGTAGATTAGTGCTGATGCAGGGTCAACCCATTTTCTTTGATATGTTTGTGTCATGCATAATACCCACTCACCAAATTTCTGGAGCACCACACATTATGGCAGGATATAACATAACATAACATGGTGTATTGCTACATTGGCAGACATACCACCTCCATGAAAGAATGCCAGAATAAGTGGTCCGGCAGCATGCCATACTAATGTCTAACAGCTTGGGAAGTCTGCCATTCCCCCACCCCACCCCATCTTTTCCTCCTTTATACCATAACATTTATTACATACATATTGCCATGGCTCCAGAAGTATGAGCATTTAGAAAGTATTTCGATATATCCTCCTAAAAGACATTAATGGCAAGATATGCCAGACTGGAAAAAAAACCATACCAGTTACATTATGTATGTTCAGGTACAGAACCACTCACCCATGCAAAACAAACACCCTTAGTTCATGGTGGGGGGGGAATCAATGTTATGAAATGACAGAAATATTAGGAACACATCCCATTTTTCTAAGAGGAAGAAGAAACTGGGTTTCTGAGCTGATAAACATTCACTTTTGTTGGCCTCTCATACAAAGTCTCATGTATTTTTTTGGCAAGTTAAGCAACCAACATCACAGCCTCCATTCTAGCATAAACAGCACCTGCTGCTAAAATTTCCTGTTATGTTCACTCGATTATTTTTAGTGAAATAACACTCAGAATTTTAAATTACAAAATTGTAATCAGTGTTCCAAGAAGAGTGTGTGTGTGTGTGTGTGTGTGTGTGTGTGTTCCAACCAACCCTTTCCCTCTTGGTCAAATTTCAAGAGAAAGAAAAATGTATGTTTCAAATGAAAGAGAAGGGGAAAGAAAGCCAGAGGCTCATTTCATGTGTCAAGGCAACACACAAGACACCTGAAAATGGATTGTTGTTGAAAGTCCTCCAACATTTCCTGTTATCCTTAAGCAGACAATTTTCACACTCTGTGCACACAAATTAAAATTTGTAAAGCACTTTAATATTATCAAACCTAAACACTATAAATGTAAACATGTCATTCAACGTTTAAATTGAGCTAGGGTCAGAGAAAAAGGTTATAAGAAAATGTGAACCATAGTGAACCGTCATCCAAAACAAAGATCTGGAATCATTCTGAGAGTTCAGTTAGCATCTTTTTGGTTTGTTTTTCAGTTTAATTTTCTCCGAAGTACCATTCTCAACTGTATTTGGTTTCAGCTGAGGGATGGGAATACTGACATAGCTGCCAAAGGCAGGCTTAATCAGTAGGATCAAACCCAGCTGCTTAATAAACCTTAAGAAGTACTAGTAAACTGAGATTTCCCAGTCCCAAGGTTTCCAAGCCAACATTAACTTTGGAGAAGTCCCTGTAGTGTTGGGTGATGATCTAAACTGAACATTCAAAATGATGGTTTGCTTCATCACCAAGGGAAAACAGCACAATGCCCAGGACCCAGATTCCAGAGAAGGGTTATGGTATGGAGTTTAGAATCAAGCAAGGGAGATATAGTGTGCTTCCATTAGAACATGAAAGCCCTGCTAGCAAGGCTAGAGGTGATCTAATATATTTTCGAACCATGAAGAAAAAAGGTGGCAGGTGTGTAGATAGAGGTATTCAATGCATGCAGTTTTCTTTCCTTCTCCCCCATTTTTAACAGCCTGGGCCCACATCAAACAACCTCCAGACACATTGCCTGAACGTTGCAGGGGTGGGAGGACAACCTAAAATCCCTCTTCTCTCCAAACCTGAATATTCACAAGAAGAGAAGCACTAGTTTGTACAAAATGTAATAGAAAAGAAAATCATATTTACAAATGAAATGAATGCCTTCTCAACTGCTCTTGTCAGAGGGTTCACTCCATGTTCTGCAGACTGCTAAGCAAGCATTATTTGCTTTACAGGAGAAAGAAGAGAGGAACAAAAAGGCATTCTACTCCTCCAACCATAGAGAGGGCGTCCCTCCTTCCATAACTTGCTTAGTAAATCCAGAGGAGGTGGGGGAATCCCATTTCTCAAAATGTTCGGGCCCTTCCTCCTGGCCTCTGCCTACCAAAAAAACAAGGCCTTCTGTTGGCTTAAATGCAAGAAAGGTATTAAGATAAAGCCAAGTAGGGTATGGTTGGAAGGATACACGAGAAGAGAATCAGCTGCAGGAAATGTGGCTCGAAAAAGAATGGCTGCTTCCAAAGCTCAGGGCCTGTGCCTGTCCATGCGTTCAGTTCTACTGCAACGTGCCCAAGATAGCCGAAGAGCACTTTTCACAGTCCTTTCCAGTTAGGAAAGCAGAACAACAGACCCATGAAAAAGTGAGGTGCTTTGCCACATTTTTGGGAAGCAACAATGGACCTGTTGCCCTTACCTGAGGGTTCCTGCTGTAAACGAAACAATATCGCTTCTAACAAGTGTCTCATTTTAACTTGCATTTACAGTTATTCCTCCTTGGTAGCCAAACTGCTGTTATCAGTACCATATGCACTGAGGACAGGGCCAGAACAACTCTCAAGATGCTAAGTGATACCGCTTTTGCACCTTTGAACCTGCCGGTCCCCTTCACAACAATATTCCCCACATCTTTGCAACTCTGCTCTCCAGTCGTCACCACAGCATCTGTAGGATCTGATGATTCATCTCCTCATGCCCTGTGGAAGACAAGCCGTGTATTTCCACAACACTATAATTATCAAATATAAGAATATATTCAATAAATACACATATACATATGTCTGAGTTGTGCTGGCCCTATTCCCACCACCGCCTTCTTCCACTTTCTACTCAGAGGAAATACACCATCAGCAGAGAAAGCCTTTCCATTATTCATCTTGCTCGTGTTGCATGATATGCTAGAGGCGGGAGCAATGGCTGAGCCTTCTCCCTGCCAGATTAAATTCATCAGAACAACAGTGGAGCTTGAGTTGCCAACCCTGCTCTTCTTTTCATTCACTGCCCTTTATGTTCCCTTGCATTGGAAAGGTTTGCTCTGCTGGGTTTGTCTACTAAATATCGTAGCAATAAGAAACTCATGTTGTTACGATGGTTCGTGTCAATTAATTTTCACATTTAAGCTTGTGCATAAACCAACCCATATTTGATATTTCACCATTTCAAAATTAACAAGTTGTTCATGAGTAGCACAAAACCTGCAACAAAACCTCCCCTGGGACCCCAACATTTGAATTTCCCCAAGACTTTTGCTGAAAGTTTCACTGGCATTCACTTTTATCATTCCAATTCGTCTTTCAGAAGTGACCTCACTGGGTTACTGTTGACTGGACCACTGGCTAGATCTGCATACATATCAAACCTCCCCTCCCCCTGGTAAATATACCAAGATTTCAATACATTTTTATCTTCAGTATATATATATATATGTATATGTATATATGCAACTCCATATTTCAGCCTTTAACCCACAGAGTCTTCACAAAAGAACTGAATGATTTTTTGCATGTAATCAACATAAAATGCATTAAGTTGATCCCACACTATTCACGTCCCATCAATTTTGCTTAAAAGTACATATGTAAGAAGACCTGTATCTTCTTCATGCCCATTCTATCTCTTCCATTCTCCGCCTCAGGCCACCTTCTCGTATCTGTACTAACCATCACAGTTTGGCGCCGAGAAAACCCCAAACTCTGCGGCTATTGCTCCCACTCGTATGCTGGCCTCTCCTCAACCATGCCTTTGCCTTTCCCAACTGTGAAAACACAAGCTAAGCTACTAAGCTCTGACATGTGATGGCCAGGAATGGAACTGTGAGTGGAGAAATGAAAAGAGATCATCGGGGATGGGGGATCTGGGGAAAGAAAGAGGTGGCACTTCGCATCAGCGCTGCCTAAGCAGAACTCCAATACTCCACAAAGAAAAAAAGAGTAGCAGAAGAGTAGCAAATGGGAACTAGGTCTGAACCCACCACCTGCCCCTCCCACACGTTGCATTTCCAGCACCATCCCCTCCCATGCTTTTCCCCATCACTCAGACATCAGACTCAATACTGGAAAGTTTCTCATAAACATGCCCGTTGCTGGAGCCATTGAAAGCCCTGGGGTTTTTGTTGTTAGGCACACAGGGGTTGGACTGGTTCCCTATACAGATGTCCTTCTGGAAACGGGCTGGCACAGCCCCATGGAGGGCCGAGACCACCGGCTTGTTGGTGGTGACAATGGCTCGGAAGTCTGGCCTGGCCTTGGGCCCTCCTGCCACCACAGGCTGCCTGAAGAAATAGGATTTGCTGCCGTGGAGCAAGCACTGGTCATCCCCAAAAGTGGGGATGAAAGGGTTTTGAGTGACCCGGTCGGGGTAGAGCGACTTGCTGAGCATATAACCACCACTAATGCCAGGATTGTTGTGGTGGTGGTGGCTGGTGGCGGGCACTGAGGACTTGTTGTTGGCAAAAGTGGACTCGCTGGCTGGCATCTCAAACATGTGGGCATAGGGGCTTCCCTCCAAAAAGCGGCCCTTGTCCTTCAGGCTGACGCTGCGGGGGGCCAGGGCAGCGTCTTCCTTCTGCAGATCCACAAAGGTGTCGTAGGAGTGCTGCCGGCGTAGCTTGTTGCGATTCTTCTTCTGCACCTTGGAGGCAGAGTTGGAAGGGCTCTGAGGATACTTGGTAGTGGAGGTGCTGGTTGCCACGGGCACAGGAGCAGATGGCTGATCCAGCTCTTGGAGGGAGTTGTCCTCACTGATGTCGTAGAGGTTTCCGGCCTTCTTGCAGGCTTCACACCGGATGCATGGCTGGCGGGTGGAATTCTGCCCCACCACGGTCGGAGTGTAGTTATGCAGCTTCGATGGGCAACTGCGGCAATAGTTAGCGCCAGGGCGTTCCTCCCAATCGAGATTGGTGAGGTTTTTCTCCCATGGCGCTGGTACCCCACTCACAACACTGTGCTTGTGCTCATTGTTTGCTCCAAACTCCCCCGACCCGTGTTTGTGGTGGGTCCTGTTAGTACATGTCCCTGCTCCCCCTATAGTGTCACGCTTGAAGTCATCTCCCCGCTCTTTATAAATATCCGTCAGATCCACATGTTCCCAGTGCGGTGAGTTCTCCTTAGCCCGGAACTGGTCCAAATAGAAATCCCGTAGCCCTTCCTTGTCCCTAAAGTAGCGCTTGTGGTCAGGGGAACGGGGACGCCGGCGATAGGCCAGTTCAATCTCATCAAACTCTCTCCGTGACTTGGCCGAGGCTGGCCGCTTCTTTAGACTATCTTTATACTGCTGTTTTCGCCGCTTTGCAGCGTTGCCCTCAATGTTGCCATAAGTCACGGTATGAGTCGATATGTCCGAGACATCTGAACGGATCAAATCGTCGTGTGCTCCTCCACCGCTGTATCGGTCACTCTTGAAAGACAACTTGCCATAAAGGTCACCTAGCTGGCCATGTTTGGCCGGCGGCAAACCGATATCTAATGGCTTCTTACTGAGAGATCGAGGCTGTGCGGAGAAGGGTGGATTATCACAGTCATATAGTCCATCGATGGAGCTGGCGCTCCCTATGCTATGAGGGCGATGGTGGTGATGATAATGGTCTTGGTAAACATTGCTTTCTTTCAGCTGCAGATTACCAAAGGTCCTTTCCACCTCACTAATATAATCACTGAAGAGGTTTTCCTCGCAGGGGGGGTTGTTATAAGACTTGCAGTCAGAGTGAGTGAAGCTACGGCGGTGCTCAGAGATATCGTAGACAGAGGATTCGCGACGGATAAAATCCAGGGCACTTTGTGGTGAGCCATTGACACCTGAAAGGTTTGCCATGTTCTTTGCTGTTCGGAGCAGGCGCAAAATGTTGGAATGGGTATTGTTCATGGTGGCAGTGGGGGAGTTCATGGAAGAATGGCGGTCCTCGATAGCCACTCCATGGATGCAGCTGTAAATACCCTGCAAAGGGGGAAAGCAAAGGGAGGTTAGCAGAGGAGCATTCCAGCAGGGGAGCTGCAGAGCTTGGAGGACTGAGACAAAAAACCTTGTCCTTTGCTAAATAGGATCCTCAGTGGGATATTGTTGGGAGATGAGACAATCTAGACACTCTCATAATGGTTCTTCCGCTTTTAATCTTCCTCCACCTTTGCCCCTCTATCCCTTGCCCTTTCATTATTAAACTGAAATAAATCTAGAAATTTATTCAGACCTTTATTGAAGTGGTTTGGTTTTTTTTAGACATGGTTGCAGATCTTTCTTACAGATCAGATGCTCAGAGTGCTGTGGTCAGGAGTACTGTTTAAGGGTTACACCTTATGCACTAGCTGCAGGATTTGATCACTGTTTTCCAATGCTCTGGTAAGAACTTCAGACAGTTTGTAATCATGCACATGAGATTATTCTGAATCTCCAACTCCTGCAGATAGGCCATTAGACAAGCTTTTGATCCACAGCACTTGTTTACATTTAGTTTCTAGGCGTGATTCAAGGTGATACTTCTTGCTTAGAATACCTAAAAGAGTCCAACTCCTTCCTTTGCAAATATTCTTTAGTTTACAGATTTTGGAAACGGGTCTGAGGAAACATATAACCAGTCAGAAATTTGAGGCTGTCAGGACATGTCTTTTAGAGGTACAACATATTGATTCACTTGGCACAGTTTCCTGACCCTCTGCATAGCCTCCAGTCATTGTTATTCATCTTGATTACAGACTCTGACCCACAATTGCTGTATGAGTCCCATCTCTTTCTCCCTAGTCCTGATAAAGAATTATATAAATTAGGAAGTTGTACAAAATAGACTTTCCCAAACAGAATTATGCTGTCTTAATACTTTGTCTGCGTTTGACTTTTCTGGTCAAAGAATTCCGCATTTTAAAAGCATCCTAAAAATGGATCAGAGTTTTACAATCAAGAGCCTAGTCTGTTAAGCAAAGAAAGTAATGATGAAAAAATCCACATTTTAACAATGAACATTTACATTGTCACCTCCAAATCATATTTAATCCTAGGAACTCAAACTGATGAATTTATTAAGTGAAAGGCAGCTTATGCAGGAGCATCTGATTCCTTAGTGCAGCATCACACAATGTGATAATATTGGCTGGGATCTGTCAATGCAGCCTTGTGCAGTATAATCTCTAACTGGACAGAGAAATGAGCTTTCTTTTATGTTTTCCACAGCTCACAAATTGGAGTGATAACTAGTAGCAGGGCCTTCTTACTGGTGGTGCCCTGGCTATGGAATGCCACCCCCCCCAGGAAGTTCTGCTTGCCCCTTGATTGTTTAGTTTTTGCTAGTTTGAAGACTCATCTCTTTCTGCAAGCATTTGGAAATAATTGGATTTTTCAGGCTCTGATCTAACGATAGCTGCTGTTTTAATGTTTTTAATGTAGTAATATAATTGTGTGTGTGTGTGTGTGTGTGAGAGAGAGAGAGAGAGAGAGAGAGAGAGAGAGAGAGAGAGAGTATTTGATGTGTAGCTATTGTATGCTGCTCTGAGATTGTTACTGCTGAAGGGGGGATAAAAAAAATCTACTAAATAAATAATAGTATTTTAAATAATGAAAGGGAAGAATTCAAGGAAATTCAAGGAAATGGAATTCAAGGAAATTCATACAGAAATTATTTGCTAGAGAGAAAGTTTCTGATCTAAGTGTCCTTTGTTTCTGTCAGTAAAATCTACTCAGAAACATGGGAGCGGGGAGTTACCTAAAAGTCAGAGTTCTACACAATGTTCTGCTCCAAAGAAACCCCCCTTCTTGTTTTGAGTCTTTCATTATGCTTCTCCAAGACATTTGCTCTGAAGCAAAGCTGAAATAGTGGCCACTCCCCCATCTGGAACCAACACTTGAAAAGAGACCAGGTCCTGCCTTCATCCAAGCACCTCTTATAGTGCTGCTTGAAACAGGTGGCTTCCACCTGCTGCATGGCAAGGATGCTCTTGTTCTTTCAAATAAATAAATTACCAAGAATTACAGAAAACCTTTTCACACCTTGTTGAAGAAGTGGCTGAGGCCACTGTCCCAAGAATTTAGATTCTCCCAACCTTTCAAAGTTCCATCTTCTTTTCCTAGATTTTCTCTCTGAAGGCCAAATGCTTCTTACATAGAGGCCAGAAATGACAGCCATAGGCACAAGGGGAAGTAATGAGAAAGGCTAGTTTGAGGTCTAGAAGCATAGTAGATAAAATTGCTGAATAATAAAACTCCAAGCCTGAGTTGGCTTGGATGGAGGGAATGATCATGATGGTGGCTCTCCTTCCTTGAGGCTGAAAGGACTCACCCTGCTGATGGAGAAGACAACGCCAGGTTTGCCGGAGCAAATGCCCATGAAGCAGTGGCGGAATTGCCAATAAAAGAGATGTTCACAGATGAAGGTGATGAGGCTGAGGGCCATGGCTGCTCCCAACATATAGAAGACTCCGGCCATGTTATCAATGTCCAGCTGGCTGCTCATTACCTCGTTCTTCTCATTATGGCAGATGCCAGTGAGCCAGAGAGCTTCTAGCTCCTCCATCTCACCTGGAAAAGATAGGTGGGAAGGAATCAGAGTGAACAGTGGGTGAGTTTTAAGTGCAGCTTTTCCTCTCATGAGCTACTATTTAGAAAGGAAAGATGCTCCCGAGGGCTTGTTTTTCAGCTGGAACTCACTGGAGCTCAGTTCCAGCACCTCTCTGGTGGACGCCATTGCCATTCTAAGAAAATAAGAGAGGCATTCATGGTGAGTTCTGGCACCTCTTTTTCTAGAAAAATAGAACTGATCCTCCCTAACCCTCCAGGCCTCAAATTTCATTTCCACTTATGTTGGATTTACCTAGCCTGAAAACTATACCAGGACAGTGGATCCACATATAAACTTATTTTTAATAAATAAATAATAGCTACAAAGTAGAATAGCCACTATACACCAGAAGTTCATAGTACGGGTGAGTAACAAAAAAATGATAGCATTGCTGATGGCTAGTTGTTGTTGCTTTTGTCTTAGCATTAGTGGTAAGTAGGGGATAATAGCTTCACTCAGTGGAGACGCACTCCTAGTTCCTCATCCAGATCACTTACCATCACCAAAGAGCTGTAGGATTGCCAGATCCACTTGCCGCTTCCAGCCTGAATTCTTCTGGATGGCAATGCCGTAGCCCGTTGAAGCAAAGACCTTCCCACTCCCAATTGTCACTAGCTTGCAGCCTTCATCTCTGCCAGCCATGTAGTTTAGCACAGCTGCATCATAAATAAAAGCATCCAGCTTCCTGCATGGTGTCAAGAAACAAGAGAGAATGAAGTAAAGAGAAGAGTCTGTGCAGACCTAAATCATTATGTGATGCTGAAGGAAGTTGAGAACTCCCATGTGACCTTAGGTAACCAAACACAGAGGAAGCAAGGCTGAACAATTGCTTGGGCACAATCAACATTGAGATGAGGGCAGGTTGTAGCATCACCACACAAATCCGTAGCATCTTCCAATGGATCTAAACAGGGTGCTAAACTGTAGCTCTCCAGACATTGATGGATTGCAGCTCCCATTAGGCGCAGGCAGTATGGCGAATGGTCAGAGATGATGGGAGTCTAGCAACATTTGGAGGGCCACAATTTAGCTAACTTTGATTTAAAGATGCCTATGCAGCCCATGTAAACCATTTCATTTATGACTGAACAACACTTTCTTCTTCAGCTTGTGAATTCAGCAGCATTCCTACCGCAACTATGTCGTGAATTAAGAAAGCAAAGCAGACCATTTCCCCAACCAAGCAGCTGGAAAGATAGCATTAGCCAAAATGTAATTACTCAAATTAGCTTCAGCCAGGACCCCTGCTTATGGGAAGAATCCCATAGGCATCTTTAAAGATGACAAGTGGTTAGGAGATCAAGTTATGTCTCCCTATGAGGGCAGTAACTTTAGCTTTATGGGGTCCCACTAACCTCAAAAGAAAGAAAGAAGAAAAAGAATCAGTGCCCAATCAGAAAAATAAATTACTAGTCCCAGCAATAAGGGTGTGTTTGCACCAGCTACATTTTGAAGCATTCAGAGATAGAATTGCTGCCTTGTTCTGTTTGCACCATGAAGCATTTCCTGTCTTCATTGCTCAAATATTTCCACATGGATTTACATAATGTGTAGTTTGTCTTTATATGAGTAGAAAGGGTGGCATAGTGATATTCCCTCCCCCCCAACAAGAAAAATAGACCCAAAGCTGCCCTGTCTGGTCACCTGGAAATTATCCTTATTTGTTACAGGTTATCAGGTGAGTAGCAGCCTAGCATGACAAATAAAAACTTTAATTTGCATTCTCCAGGGAACAAACTGCGTATAGGCAGTCCTCCCTCCACCAGTAGAATAATCTGATTTCTGGGCAATATAGAGGAGGAAGAGGAGAAAGGAATTAATAACCTCAAATGTAATGGAAAAATCATAGCTCGCCAGGTGGGTCAGAAGGTTTCTGGGACAGCAGCAGCTGCCCCCCAAAAGAAATTTGTTGAGAAATAACTTAAGTCACATGGCAAGCCAGTTACATAGGTGCAGAAGTTGTATGGAGCCTTTGCAAAATGGTTCAGTCATGGTTCCCTGGCACCCAAGAATTTAAAAGTTCTATTCAGGCAACCTGAATCATGCCTTGCAGCAAAGCATAAGTGGGGCCCTTACCTTCTCCCATTATAAAATGTGCACCGACTAGCTGTACCCTAGTATCCACATCTGCAGGGAGGAAGCCTTTGAGGCACAGTGTGACATGTGAAGGCCTCTTCCTTGCAGACATTTGTGCTTTATGTGCAGATGCCAAAGGCATAATGGAAATATATTCGTTGTATGCAAAAATGACAAATATTGAACACAGAAGACCCCAAAGAGGTGCTGTGATTCTCCACAACTGGTTTTTCCTCAGAAGCTTGCTATTCTGTCACTGATGATCTAGACTCCTTCATAAAACACCTGTGACATCAAGAGCAAGGTTAGTCCTGCTCCCAGTTCATACGCTGATACAGAACACGAGCTGAATCAATGGAATAGGGCTACCTGTGAGTTTACACAAGTATAGTATGTGTGTGTTTACTGTGGAAAAGATGCATCTCTCATATAATAGTGGTTAGGATTCCCAACTTACTAGTATTTTCATACAGCAATTAACACTAGGGATTAAGATAATATCATAGTTATTTCAATAATAAAGAATTTTAGGTGATGTCTAGCCACAACTATTGCATTGCAGCTTAAGGCAGTATTTCCACCAGCTAATCTGCTTTTCAGAAAGTCTGCATTGATGCAAGAAGGGGAAGAATCATTGTTATATTACTTGCACATATCTAGCCAAAAAGAACAAAAAGTAATAATAATGGATGAGATAAATTGTTCTTGACAACGTTGTGGTACATGGATTATATGCAATGTTTTAGCAGCAGGAATATTAGGGAGAAGGTTCTTCAAAATCCCAAGAGAATTACACACACAGGTTTACATTAGCAACCTTATTCTTTAGGGAAGAGGCAATCTCACCCTGTCTTTAATGAGGATAGCGCATCTCCCACCGATCTTTGGTTGAACTTCACCATGTAGGCGTGCATCAGTTCGTAATTGTTGCGAATGTTCCTCTCTGTACTGCCATTAGGAACTGTCCCAAAGCGGAAAGGTGGCGAGAAAGCATTTGGGTTTTGGAACTGGAGAAAAAGAGAGAAAGAAAAGCTCTCAAGTTGTTTTCTCAGTGGTTATTTGAGAGAGAACCAGATTTTCTGGGATATCAAGTTGATAGTTATTTCAGAGCTTTAATGGCATGTTGGCAACCAGGCCACAGCATGCCATGCATAAGGACTGTAATCCAAGAAAGCTATACATGTTCATGAAGGAGAACCATGCACGGTGCAGTAGCTTTATTTGATATTTTCACTGTAACACTTTATACTGCCAAAGAGACAAGAGGCTGAATTAAAAAGCTGTACAGCGATTCCACTATCAAAACCAAAGCAGGGGAAATCACCTGCTGCATTTGCAACCACATACAATGTATTTCAACTGTAATATTTGTTTTAAAGCTGGCACAGAACAAAATATTTCCCTAAATAGAAGAATATTTTCTACTTCACTGTTGAAATTATCTTCAAATGTGATTGCCAATCCTGAGATGGCAGACGGAATGACTAGCCATTTTCAAAAAACCTACACACAAAAGAACAGTCTAATTTATAATAGTGGTGTGTAGATGAAGAGATGTGGCTATGCAAGTATAAGTAGGCTTAGACATCCTGGATAGCTCAGTTGCTTAGAGAGTATGATAATGTCAAGGTTGCAGGTTTGGTCCCCATATGGAACAGCTGTATATTCGTGCATTGCAGAGAGTTGGACTGAAATGATCCTCAGGGTCCTTTCCAACTCTACAATTCTATGACTCTATGTAGAATGCTCACGATTCCCATTGGTTAAGTCCACTGGCGTTACCAGTGTCAGGGAGCAAGTTTAGACATGCATAACAATATCCATTAGTCCACCTTTTTACTTTCTCCTATATAAATTGATTGCTGCCATTATTTTTCTAGGGAGGAAAGTAAACTGCTGCATTTGAGGATATTGGTACAGTGAGCGGGGGAAACTCTTCCCCAAAACTGAATGGCCTGGCTCATACTTGTTGAGGTCTCATTGTGTGTGCAGTGGGGAGTGCAATGCATGTTTGTAAACAGAAGTACAGTACACTATATTACATACAACCTCATGAGTCTTTAGCATATACAAACTCCCTTCCACTCATGATCATGACCGACATTTTACTCGCAATTCTCTTCTGGGACCCAAAGGTAATAATAAATAAAGAATACAGAAAAATACAGCTGATACAGAAGGAGCACCATAATTACACTGGAACTAAAACTAGCCACATCATCTGAAAGCCTACTTGGTCCTAATGATTCTCTGAATAGCTGGCATGGTCTGAAACAGGTGTAGGAAACTTTTGCGCCCCCCCCCCGGATGTTGCTGAACTTCAAGTCCACAAGCAGAGCTGGTGACCAGGAATGATCGGAGTTGAACTTCAGCAACATCTGGAACTCCAAAAGTTCCCTACATCTGGTCTACAATATAAATCAGTGAGATCCACATGTATCATCCATTTTAATTTATGTAAATTTAAAATTGCCTGGCATTGAAGTGGAATTGAAAAAATACAGTGACTCGTCTTCCTACTAAACATTATAGCATTTTATGGAAATAATTTATCAAAGAAAGAGTATGATCTATTGCAAGAGCTTCAAGTTATAAGTTCATGAATCAAAAATGTTAATGCAAGATAATGATTTCTTAAGAATGTTTTGCACATTTTCCTAAAGGCGAAGACAGAAGTTTACAAATACTTCTGGGAAGTATTTTCCATATCCACGAGCCCCCTGCAGAATAAGTATGTCTGCGTTAATTCCCTCTGCTGCCTTCACTTTCTTCACATAATGGATTTTGAGTAAAGGGGATTCTAATCCCCGTCTTAATTTGATATGTTGAATAGTTTCCATACGTCATCCAGTCAAAAGCGCTGCTGTGAGTATTCACGTTGTTTAATAATATGCTCTGTGGCTGATTCAGAACAACACTTCTTCAAGCTTCTGTACCCTCCTCTTCATTGAGGACATCATTATCTAGACCCAGTCAGAAGACCCTTGAGAAATTCCACTTCAATAAGTTTTGACCCCACCATCGAGATGAGACAAGAGCATTCCATGCACCAGGTTCACTATGGGCAAATACTGTGTCCGGTAATGGTTATATACATAATCACCACTGTATACTGAAAAAATGCTGAACACCTCTCATATATCTACATTGTCCTGGTTCCTACCCAGAACATACCACAATGTGAAATTTAATCTGTTTTAGTGTTTCAAATTATTGTATGTTCTAATGTATTGCTATTTTTTCCTGATCTTATGGAAGAACTGCAAGAAAGAAAGAGATCTTCAGGGTCCTTGCTTACTGTGGACATTCTCAAGCAGATGATTACAGAGCAAACAAAAGTCATTTAATGAAAAATAGAAGTATTAGAGGAAAAATAGATACAAAATTGACAAGATTAGAAGGAACTGACAATGAAATGAAGAATGAAACTAAACCAGAGATGATTGAAATGGAAAATGGGAACAGAAATTGCCTAGAGGATCTAGTTGCCTTGGTCCTGTCTCATTTCTCAGATATCCCAACAATACTTGTATGGAATTTAATCATTTTCATTGGGACAGCAAAGTTTTAATCCTTCCCCATCCATGAGTCTGACAAAAATGGCCCTCCACCACAATTAACATTATAAAAAGGTTCCCATTGGCACTAATGGAGCTTGCTTCCAATGCTGATTGCAGTTTAATGGTGGTGTTCTGTGATTGGGGAGGAAATAGTTAATTGTCCTCTCTTTGTGCATTGTGGTTCCAATAAAACACACACCCTCCTTCCATGCTGGGTGGCAATTTTTCAAAAATTTGTAATCCATGCAATTATTGTCTGTTTTGGCTATGAGACAATAATTTCTACCTTCCAGGCCTACAAACAGGTGTTAATTAACATAGCAAAGCTAGGGTGATTGTGTTATCTCCAATTACTTGTGTTATGAATGGTCACTTATCTTATCTTAAGGTTCACACAGAATTTTCACAGACCGCACTTTTTGCAGCTCATGGGAATATGGCTCCATCTATAACCTCCACCCACATGTGCATGTGTGGCCACACAACTGAATATAACACTTCATGCATCTGTCAAAGCGAATTCTAGTCCATTAAGACTTATGCCATAATACACCTTTTAATCTTTCAGGTACCGCAAGACACTTGGTTACTTTTTTCAGTAGCAGACTCACAAAGCTATTTGTTTCGAAGATGTTTCCAAACCTTTTCTAGGACTGCTGGCATCTCCCTTCATTTGAAGTGATGCTCCTCATTCCACAATGTATTGAACAGACCATATCTAAAGGCAGCAAATTTAACTGATGGCCACAGTACAGAGAACATCTCACTCTCACTCCTCTTATTTTATTTTGGCAGAAAAGGGTAGAAAATGGGATGGCAGCCATCTTGCAGGCCCCTTGCTGCTCCTGGTAAATTCATCCCTCATAAAACTCTTTTCAGGCTGAACTGCTGTAAGATTTTATATGCTACTTGGTTTACCCAAGTCACAATCAATGCTTTCTGGGGTTTTATGAGCAGTAAACTTTAGCACTGACAATTACGAAAACTCCTTAAAATCCATACACAGAGAAGTAGCGGTGGGAAAAGTGAGACGAGATGTAAGCCAGGGGCCCAAAATCAGCATGAAGAGGTGGATATTATGCCAAGGGCTTTCAAGTAAATGGAAAATTCCCTCCTCACTGCTGCAGAGAGGCATTTTGCATGGCTTAGTAGCTACTTTTGCCAATCTAATAACGGGCACAATGAAGGAGACAGTGAAAGTTGCTTAACAGTCAAACCTGATATTGATATTGTAGCAAAAATATCACACCACCCCAATCTCTGAGCAGTGCGAGATTCCAGGGGTCAGGCACTTACCCGGGGTTTGTGTTTCCTTTAGGAATGAGGCATGGTGGAGAGTGTGGTGTCTTTATGATAATATGGTTTATTGACATATATATACCACCTGAGCTATGATGAAAGATTACCAAAGTCTGTCTCTCATTCAATATCTGGCACCCCAGAATTAGGAGGGGAGTCCAAGAACCCTACAAACTTGTAACCATTGGCGTAGCAAGGTCAGGTGGTACCCGGTGTGGAAAATGTTTTGTAACCCCTCCCCCATTGAATTTTATTTTTATTTATTTATTTAGCCAGCATGCAATAATGGTTTGACTCGTTTTGGGGGAGCCGGAATTGTTGAGCTTTTCTGGGGAACGTTTCGGCAGCAGGAAGCCTACGCACGCAAAAGTCACACCGTCTCTCACAGACGTTGAGTGCCGCACAGCATTTTGTCACCCCCCTCGGAGATGGCACCTGGGGCAGACAGCACCCAACACACCCACCTTGCGACGCCTCTGCTTGTAACCATATAAACTATGGACCTATGCGGTGCACACACAGTAAACTTCTCTTACATGGACACAGCAGTTATATGAAAAGTATACTAGGGTTGCCATATTTCAAACAGTGAAAATCTGGACAGAAAATTATTCCGTATATGTCTGGGGAAATCCAGACGTATGGCATCCCTAAGCATACACCATCACTTCCTACTGTAAAAAAATCAGACTGCCAATGTGTACATATAGTTCAAAACTTAGAGCTCTTTGAAAATAGCTGTGATCCTTACCAGCAGGGGTGGTACATTTTTCTGTGGTAATACCAATACCTTCTGTTGGCAGAATAGGTATAATCCCCACCAGTACTGTGCAGAAATGTGCATTAAGGAATACTAAGGATGGCACGAGTGTTTCTGTGCTGCTAATAGATGGATGGGGAAAAAACATTTACTGGGATACAGGACATTAAAAAAACTTAGACATGAGAAGCCTGATAAGGTACATTGCACAGAACACAAGAATCCATTCCAAAGGGACAAAATAAAAACCTTTTAGAAAGGCAAAGAAGGCTTTGTACCTGTAAGCCATTCCAAAATCAATAGTACTTAGATGTGCTTTACTCTGCACAGTAGTGGGTAGGTGGGTGTGGGAAGGCCTGTGGGATCACATGTGTTTCAAAGTATCATG